CAGGCATTAGTGGCTTTCTTGGGGGCTGGGAGCCATAGCAGTGTGTGTGTGTGTGTGTGTGTGTGCGTGTGCGCGCGTGCGAGCGCGAGCTTTGGAACCCTCAGGGTTGGAATCCTGCTTCTACCTCTTAATGGCTGACCAATCTTGGGCAGGTTAAATTTCCCATCTTTATAATGATGGTATATACCTCATCTTTCAGAGAATTACATCATATGTATATTTAGCAGGATGCCTACCATACATAAATGCTCAATACATGTTAGCTATTAATGTTAAATATTAAATGAGGAAACTTTTCTTCTCTCAGTTAAATTTCATCTGATTGTCCAAAGCCTACCAAGATAGTTTTTAATCTTGATTCTGTGGCCTTCAGTATTATAACTTCCTTTTAGATCTGCGTTATCTTCCCCTTGATAAGCATGCTGGTTCATCTTAGTCACAAAGACAAGGTCAAGCTGCAGCCTTGGTACCAATGAATGCAACCCTCGTCTGTGAAAACAATTTCATGTGGGAGACCCTAACTCTATGGGTGAAGTGTTGAACGGGGGGAAAAAAATACAAAGGCTTTGCCCTAGATGGTTTGGCTCAGTGGATAGAGCATCAGCCCACGCGGACTGAAGAGTCCTGGGTTCAATTCCAGTCAAGGGCACATGAATTACCAACTGATAAACCTAAGTGGTAGCCTTGATGTTTCATCCCATCCAATGAGGCTGAAGGTGTGTGTGTGTGGGGGGGGGGCGGGGGGGGGAGGCGGGGGGGGGGGGGTGTTCAGGAAGCAGCCAAAACCTTGGGCCTTTAATGACAAAACAGCTACTTCATTAGAATAAACTAAAAAAACACCCCGACCAGGTATAATATTGCTCTTGACTTCTCTTAGTATTTATTTCTGGAAGAAAAAACAAAACAAAACCAGAAATTATAACCAAATTACCAAATCAACTCAAACATTTCAAGGTTGTCTAAAAGCTTTAGCCTAAGTGATTACTGCCACACAAAGGAGTTATGTACGTTTACAGGTCAGGAACTGCCACTCATCCAATGCTTCTATTAATTCAGTTATCAGTTCTATGATTTACATAAAAGAATTTAAGTTACATAATAGAACTGAGTATACATACACTTTCTGCTCTTGAAAATAAAGGAGTCATTAACAAATATACAGAGAATGTTTTCAGTTATAGAAAAGGGTCCAGAAATATTTCACCTGGTTAAACTTCATGATGGCATTGATGAAAGAATAGGATGGGTCACAGGCCTAAGACTGACAAAAAAACATTACAGGTTTAAAGATAGGGAGGCCCTCTGTCAAACAATTCTCAATGCTTTCATGTGATTGATTGTATATTAGCACATGAGTCAAAGGTGAAATGTAGGCTATTATAGATTCTTAAAATATATAGTTATGACTTGTCACTGAAAAGGGAACTCTGAAGACAGGTCCATTGAGCATGAAGTGGTCAAACTAGCCTATGCTCCTTCCTGGTGGTTTTGGTGTGCTGTCAAAATTAAGGTGCCTTTAGTTCTACCCTTTTCTGTATCATTTTTCTCTCCCAACTAAGTTCTCTCACATAGCAGAATGGCCATAGCAGTCACAGGCCTACCTCACACAGGCAGACCACACCCCTCGGGGAAAGCATCTACTCACCATTCTTCAACAAATCCTGCTTCACTGTCTTTGAATCAACCTAGTTTTACCCGATCAACCCAGAACCAAATTACCTTGTTTAAAGCAATGGTTCCCAAGCCAGAAAACCTGACACCCTTTTATTATGCTGAAATAATATTCCTAGATAGGTATATCAGCCTACTTACACACACACACACACACACACACACACACACACACATTGGAAACAAAAACTTAAAAAAAAATAAAACCGTAACTTGACATAAAGGAGAAATAAAACTTACAATAAAATCCACATTGTGATACATAAATGCTCAGGAATAGATATAATATTAGACATAAAGAAATGAATGTAACTGCTAAAAATGAAAACTGACCCTGATGTGTTGTAATATTAACTCACATCCCTGACATGTAGTAATATTAACTCAAATACCACTTTGATGATGTCGTTTTCCAAAATGGTGAAGAACTCTTAGAAATACTCTAAACAAAACAATCATCTTTACTTGATTCACAAGGTAGCTGCATTCCTAGAAAATTCAGGGTATAATACACAAAAATACTTTGTCTTTATATACACAAAACAGAGTTACCATTCTAGGATATGATAACATCTGATGGGATACTGGAAAGTCATGTAGGACACAGCACAATTCTTTCTGGTCCCTGCCCATCAAATATTTGTAGTATCCTCCAAACTGGGGGGAAAAGTAACCCTAATAAACTGTCAAAATTCCCCGAGAGGGGCAGTACAAGACTAAGTCCAGGTATGGAGGGTGGAGAGGCAACAATATCCACCACTTCTAACTTCCTCATTCAAAGGTAAAACTAAGAGAATTTCAAGTGCTCCCTCAAATAAAGGCCTTCATATTGAAGATGCTTTTATTAGTCAAGCAAAGTCCACTATATTTGTTCAAATTCAAAGCATGTTACAATTGAGATGGCTAGGAGGGTGATCAGGTTTCAATGAACACTTGAATCCGTTTGGTGGAAATGCTAGGCTCCAGGAAAAAGCAATGACCTTGAAAAAGCAGCTTACAGGCTGGCACCATTTGGGGGCTCAGTCCATCTGGTTTCAAGATGATCTAATCTATATATATCTATATATATATAAAGAGTAAATATGCAAATTAGGCCAGGATGCCATAACGGGTCACCAGCGGAGGACAGGGTGAGGTTGCCCACGCAGGTGAGGCCCGGAGCGGAGACGGAGACAGAGACCGGGGAGGCCAGGGAGCCGCCATGTCCCGCCCCGTCGTCGTCCCCCCCCACCCCCCCTCAGGCCGGCCCCTCGGAGCAGCAGACACGGACAGGGACAGGGACAGGGGGGTCGGCCAGCAGCCTCTACGGCTGAGAGCAGGCCTGGAGAGACGGCGAGCCCACCTCCTGCGCAAGCAATGTGGCTCCCTCACGCCTTCCATGGAATCGGCGCGGGTCCCTCCTGGTCCTGGCGGCACGCTGTGGTTCCCACCGGCTCCAGAGGAAGCAGCCGGCAGCCTACGCGCGGTATCATGCGATGAGCTACTAATAAATTTATAATTCTTTACCAAATTTATTATCAAATATGTAATTGGATATGGAATGGAATTTCAATATTTAAAAAATACACTCAACGCCATATTATTTCTTTATATCTATAAAATCTACTTTTTCACGTTCTCCTAAAAGCAGAAAGATAGCCCAGGGAAGAACATTGTCGTTAAGGCTAAGAGGGAGTGTTTCCAAAGCAAACTCCATTAACAGTGGAGATGCCCAAGTAAACTGTCAAAGAAATCACTGACGGCAACAGTACGGGACTGACACACCAGTGCAGAGATTAGCAAGAACCAGCTTACCAACCAGTCTGCACCTGAAGACTTTGTCATTTGGTGGGGAGGATAGGACATTAAGACAGAGTTCATATCTAAAAGTCAGTACCACTTAAAGCAAATCTAAATTACGTAGGCCTTGTCACCATTCACAGGTTTACTAAAATCTTAGGCACAAAATACTAGTAATCTATAACACTTCTGCACAGCAAAAGAAGCCATCAACAAAACTACAAGAAAGACCACTGCATAAGAGAACATATTTGCCAATGTTTGACCTGGTAAGGCCTAATCTCAAAAAAATTACAGGGAACTCATACATCTTAACAAAAGATAAACAACCCAATCAAAAAATGGGCAAAGGACTTAAATACCTAGTAGACACTTTTTGCAAGTGGGCATACAGAAGGCCAAGAGACATATGAAAACATGCTCAAAGTCACTAATCATCTGAGAGATGCAAATCAAAACGACAATGAGGCACCATCTCACACCTGTCAGAATGGCTATGAACAACAAACAACAAGTGCTGGCGAGGATGTGGAGAAAAAGGAACCCTCGTGCACTGCTGGTGGGAATGCAGACTGGTGCAGCCACTGCCGAAAACAGTATGAAGATTCCTCAAAAAATTAAAAATGGAACTCCCATTTGATCCAGTGATCCCACTTCTAGGAATATATCCCAAGAAACCAGAAACACCAATCACAAAGGATATATGCACCCCTATCTTCATAGCAGCACAATTTAAAATAGCTAGTATTTGGAAACAGCCTAAGTGCCCATCAGCAGATGAGTGGATTAAAAAACTGTGGTACATCCACACAATGGAATACTACACTGCTATAAAAGAGAAAGAACTCTTACCATTCACAACAGCATGAATGGACATGGAGAGCATTATACTAAGCGAAATAAGCCAGTCAAGAGAAAGAAAAATATCACAGGATCTCAATCATTTGTGGAATATAATGAACAACATAAACTGATCAACAAAAACAGATACAGAGGCAGAGCAGCCTCGAACAGACTGTCAAACTGCAGCCAGAAGGCTGGGAAGGGTTGGGGGGCGGGGGGTAAGAGATGAACCGAAGGACTTTTACGCATGCATATAAGCATAACCAATGGACATAGAAGCTAGGGGTGGGTGAGGGCATGTGCTGAGGGATGGGTGGGCTGGGGAAAGGTCAATGGGGGGAAAAGGTTAATACTATATGTAATACTTTAAACCAGCAGTCGCCAACCGGTGGTCCACTGACCACTGCTGGCTCGTGAGGTCCCAAAGGTTGGTGACCGCTGGTTTAAGGAAACCTTTGGAGCAGCGGTTGCCAACGGGTGGTCTGCAGACCACTGGTGGTCCGTGAGGTCCAAAAGGTTGTCAACCGCTGCTTTAAACAATAAAGAATTAAAAAAACAATAATCTATAACACTGACATTCATATTAGTTTTCAGAGGGGAAGGAAAAGAGACAACTTTACAAAAGTCACAAGTAATTTTTTAAAATTAAGATTTCAATTTAACAGCAACTATATTTATAGTATTATAAGAAAAGTATTTACAGGGGAGGAAAAAAAAGCTTTATTTATTGTCAAGTTAGATAAACTTAGGTATTAAATTGGCAATGAATGAGGAATATACACAGCCCAGTATCATACACTTAACAGTTCATATGCAAGTTACTCTTGGCATAACTTATTGGATTCCATGATAAGGGCCTAAAATGCTCTAGAGATCAGCAATTTTCAATTGGTGTGCTGCATGAATATTTAAAACATGCAATATCTGACTAGTTAGTCAGGGGCATTAATCTCTTTTCCCTTAGATTGTCAAATTAAAAAATGGTAACAGCCACCACAACAATAGCCACCCAATGTGAATGAATCAAAATTATACCTATTTTTTTTGTCAGATTGGCAAAAAGATATATCTTTTGGTATGCTGCAAAATTTTAGTAATTAGTTTATGTGTGCCATGAGATGAAAAAGATTGAAAATCGCTGTTCTAGGCTGAATTTATATTTTTCTAAATCTTTACAGGGCTAAAGAGATATTGGTCCACTGTTGACAAAATTTAAGGGGAAATAAAGGTTAATGTGTTTAGTTTCTATCTAAACTTTCTATTAGATAGCTCTTAAATTTGTTATAGCTCATTTCTAAAAAGATTAAGGCAAACTGTCTTCTCTATGTTAAAATTCAAAATAAAGCTTTTAGAAAAGATCTAAATGGAATTTCTATATGCAAATTTGTTTCAAAGTCTCAAGATCACAAAACTACTATTGCCAACTTGAACTTCACAGTTATTCTGGGTAGATGAAACATATTCTCCCTTCTTTTAAGATGAAAATAAAAATCACTGTATCAGTTTTCTATAACAAAAAAGCTATGACCTTGATAACAAGTGTTCAATAGTCTCTTAATCCCATGTTTCGTCCTTGCATCTTATTTGCCCTCTGTATGAGATATATTATTTCACAAATAAAGGAAAAAAACAAAAACAGATCCACTGGGAGAAAGAATGTTTAATAAATGGTGTCGAAACAAATAGCTATCTGTTTGGAATAAAAATAAAACTAGATCCGTATACCTTACACCATATAGAAAAATACATATATTACTGATGGATTCAAGAGTAAAAAATAAAAATGCAAGTACCCAAAGTTCTACATACAATTTTAGGGGGTTCACAGACTCCCTAAAGCCCGTCCATGGATCTCAGATTATCTAGAAGAGACACCGTTAATCATAACTTCTATTAAAATCTCAATGTCAAATACTAGACATGTTTTCAAGATCAAGTCACATGCAACCAATGAAGATGAACACATTAACTCAGTGTTGTACCTTTACAAAATTCCCAAACTGGAACTAGAAACAGAGGTGTGTCAATACAAATGGACAATGACTTAAAAAAAAATTAAATAAGTTTGAGTGCATACTGTACAAGTGTACCCATATGTCTGTTAGCCTTTCAGAAATATAAAATCAGCTAAATCTGTAGTACTTAAAATTTAATATGTGTATGTTATTCTCAAACTTGATTAAAATACTTAATAAATACAAGTTATGTTTATTATGAATAACTGCAATATACTTAAACATCTAAACATTTAATAGGAATTCTATAATATTAAAATGCAATACTTTCACCTGCATTAATCTCATACACAATGGAAAAATACTTGCAGATAATTAGCATTAAGAATGCAAATATATTTTCACTGTGGAAGAAAAATAATAAGATTAGAAATGATATATTTGAGCAATCTACAAGGAAGCTGTAGATAGTCTACATTATGACATTCTATTTTAAAATGAAAACAATTCAATATGTAAGTTTACAACAAATTTACTCAAGGCAAAATATTTATTACAGAACAGGATCTTAAGTCAAAGTAAGCAAGGCAACATTAGATCAACCATTTTCGATTTCTCAAATGAAGTATAGCTTTAAAATTGTAATAACCATGAACATAAATTCTAACATGCTCTTCTCTTATAAATGGGATGATGTAGAAAAGCAAAGCTTCAATGTGTAGGGATTGGAACCATCTGTAAAAATTAAAAAACAAAGTTAATAGTTCACTTCTTCCAACTTTCAAGATTACCCTGAATTAACAGTAAATTATTTTACCTTTGTATAGTATTAGAAGCAGAAATATAAAGAAGAATGTCTATGTAAGGTTAAAGGGAAGATTACTTTTATTCATATCTACTAGTAAGCAGGCTCCATGAAGCCAGGGGCTTTGTCTATTGCTACATTCCTATTGTTCTAAACATTATCTGACATCTAAAAGGCACTGATTTTTTTTCTTTTAGTGAATTAATAGTATCGGGATTAGGCCTATGTCCATGAGCTAACGCTCACTTTCCAGAAAATATTACCAATGGTAAGTCCTCTACAGAAACCAATTCAAATATAACTTGGGAAGTGGGACAAGACTAGAGTGCACAGGAAGATATTAATAGGCTGAAATAAATTCAGGACTAGTATTAAATCTCTGATCAACAGAGTATGCAAATTCTAAATTCACTTCTTAAAAAAATTGGGTATAATCCACAGAAAAAATTCCATTTTTTGCATTTTTCTTTAACTTTTCAGACCAAGCAGAGATAACTCTTCATCAGTTGATTATGCAAAGAAACAATTCTGGTATCTTTTTTAAGAAATCTTTTTAAAATATATTTTTATTGATTTCAGAGAGGAAGGGAGAGGGAGAGAAAGAAGTATCAATGATAAGAGAATCATTGATCAGCTGCCTCCTGCATGCCCCACACTGGGGATCAAGCCCACAACCCGGGCATGTGCCTGACAGGGAATTGAACCCTGACCTCCTGGTTCATAGGTCAATGCTCAACCACTGAGCCACACCTTCCAGGCTACATGCATTGCTTTCTTCTAGAACAGTGGTTCTCAACCTTTCTAACGCCTCGACCCTTCAATACAGTTCCTCATGTTGTGGTGACCCCCAACCATAAATTTATTTTCGTTGCTACTTCATAACTGTAATTTTGCTACTGTTATGAATCGTAATGTAAATATCTGATATGCAGGATGTATCTTCATTGTTACAAATTGAACATAATTAAAGCATAGTGATTAATCACAAAAACAATATGTAATTATATATGTGTTTTTTGATGGTCTTAGGCGACCCTTGTGAAAGGGTCATTCGACCCTCCAAAGGGGTCGCGACCCACAGGTTGAGAACAGCTGTTCTAGAAGATCAACAGGTATTGTAGAAACCAGCTTCCGATATGGCCCCAATGATCCCTACACCTCCAGGTATTCACAGCCCTGGTATTCACAATGTACCATGGTTGGTCTGTGTGATCACAAGAAAACAGCGTAAGTGATGGTACCCCACTTCCAATATTAGGTTATAAAAGACATTGTAGCTTCTGTTTTGGTCTTTTGCTCCCTGTTGGATCACTCCTTCTGAAGGAAGCCAGTTACCATGAAAGGGGCAAGGCAGCTTAACTGGGCCCACAAACAACCACGAGTGAACCTGGAAGTTGATTTTCTAGCCCCCAGTTAAGACTAGAAATGACTACAGACCCAGACAACAGCTTGACTGCAGCCTCCTAAGAGACTCTGAGCCAGAACTACCCAGCTAAACTGCACACAGATTACTGACCCTCAGAAATAGTAAGATAATAAATGTTTGCTGATTTAAAGTGGTAAGTTTTGGGATAATCTGTTAGACAGCAATAGATAACTAATCCAAGTATTATGTGGGTTGTGGGATTTATATGCCTTGTTTTCTTTGTACTTCTCTGTATTTTTTAAAGCTAATAAACGTTATTTTAAAATTGTTGTGAATGCTTCTGATGGTACCTCCCATTGAAAAATGGCACAATATTACTTACTTGGAACTCTTATCTGGTAGTGATTAAGTGCTGTAAGGGCTTCTACTGCATCAGTTTTGCATTCCCATTCTAAGAGCCCAGAAAGGGTTTTGGCAGAAGCTAAAACAAAGAGTCACAAATCCAGTTGTTATTTGTTTGTCATCAACTTAACCAGAAAAATTAAAAAGAGAGAGTGTGTACTTACGTTTTGCATCAAACACTTTATATTTGATGAATGTAAGAACTTCATGGTCATTACATAACTGTTAAAGAAATATAAAACTCCATTAAAAATATAGCCAAAATAATATTTCTACCTTTTCTAAGAAAGTAAACTTTATGGTAGCATTTAAGTTTTGATCCTGTCATGAATGAAGTCATATATGTTTTTAGATTAAAAAGCTCTATGAGAAAAATCAAAAATAGTGATAGTCTACAAACTAGGTACATTTAGTACTGTACAATAAAACCACAGATTTGTAACTGAAATATATATTCTCAGAGTAGACCAGGATTTACTGTTTGACCAATAGGAGTGGAGTTCCAGAAAATCAATTATCTTCTGAAGCATTTCCTACAGTTAGGGGAAAAGGCAGGGACATGTAAAATTTTGTTTTGTTTTGATAAGCACTGTGCTAGTTATTCCACAGTGAACATAACAGATGTGGTCTTCTTTTTTTTTTTAATTTATTTTATTGATTTTTTACAGAGAGGAAGGGAGAAGGATAGAGAGTTAGAAATGAAACATCGATGAGAGAGAAACACCGATCAGCCGCCTCCTGCACACTCCCCACAGGGGGGATGTGCCCGCAACCAAGGTACATGCCCTTGACTGGAATCGAACCCGGGACCCTTGAGTCCACAGGCCGACGCTCTATCCACCGAGCCAAACTGGTTAGGGCAGATGTGGTCTTCTTGAAGTGTAAGAATTAAGAACATAATAAGAAAACTTTCCAAATGCAGGAATAAGGGTATATCATTCTAATTCCAACTCTCAAAAAGATTGCGCCACAAACCAAAACAAGAACAATGATGGAGGCCAGAAAAGTTTAATGGCCAAGGAATAAACTATATAAATAAAGTAACAAACCAACAACAGAATACTATCAAAAGTAGATGAGCAGAACAAGACTTTAAAATGAGGATAACATATGACATTTTAAAAAAGAAAAGAGGGACATTTTATACAATTTGTATGTCAGTGCCCACCTTCGTGAAGGTCTCTTCTGTGACACACAGTGGAACGTTGTAATAATGGAGCACACACGAGGGCGGCTGGATTATATTCTTAGATGCTTGGCCAGCACTTGTAAAGCGATTGTTCTTGCTCATTGCAAAATCCTTGTAGCTACTCGTACCATCCTCCAGCTCAAATATTTGACTTGGAACAACTGAATGTTGTTTAGACACACTGAAGATTGGAAAGAAACCAGTACAGAACATGTATCTTGTTAGAAAAAAGCAGCAAGTAGGCAGTCTCATAATGTTAACATATAGACCTCCATCAACCTTAACAAAAAAGCACACATAGCTATTTAAACACAGTTTAAATATTTAATATTTTGAACATGTACTTAAATATTTAATTTTAGTTAAATCACTCTTATATGTTAGACATTAACTAGAAAAAAATCTATTGAATATGTTCTTATATTGGAAAACTTTAATATAAAATGTGCCCATTTAAACATGCTGTTTTATGATCATAAAACTAAAAACCAGTCATAGGTAAGCAAAATCTGAATTATATGATCCTAAAACTTTGTCTAAAATAACAAACACTATAGGTGCTAGTTTCAGATGTGCCCTCAGTTACACTAACATATTCTGAAATTGAAATTATGTCTTTAATAAAAAAGATTTTTAAAATTTACCACTTAGGATATTTACCAAACATTAAGTCTTTTCCCAAATAATTTGACATTGTTAAGGTGTGTGACAGCTCTTTCCACAGCATATTCATCACCCATTTCTACCAGTGCTGTACCAGGAATGGTCTTCATGAATTTTACCTGTAAATACAAAATCCCATAAACGTGACCATTTAATTCCCTTTTATAGTAATAGAAATTTCTAAAAGATAATATGGTTTAAGTGGTTGATGACAAATACAGAAGATCACCTGGAATCTTCAACTTTTATTCTGATATATTATTACTAGACACTTTTAACTCATATCAAAATTCAATAAAATTTTTTTAAAAAGACTATAATTATATTGTATAATACATGGAAGAAGAGCACAGGCTTATCCTGGGCTCTGTTATTTATCAATTGTGTAACCTACAGCAATTACTTCACTTCTCTGAGCTTTAAACTTCCCTATAACATGGAGATAATAATACCTGACAGGATTCAACATTTTTTCATTTAACAAATATTTATTAAATACCCAAAATGCTTTGATAAGCACTGTGCTAGACTCTCCCCAGTGAACATAACAGACCATATCTTCTTGAAGTTTATATGCTAGTAGGTAAGTCAGAAATTTAAAAGTAATAATTACCAAATATCCAGAGTGCTATTGCAGTGATATACAAAATCCTATATAAGAAATAATACAAGATGGCCTCGAGACAACATTTCCAGTAAAAGGCTTGTGCAAGGCAGAGACAGTTTAAAAAATAGGCAATACTTCACAAGTTTTCATAATATCTTGGGCAGAGGCCACATTATCCTCTTACATCATTCCAATTTTAGTATAAATGCCGTAAGGCTTAGATGAGATAAAGTATGAAAATCACTCGACATAGTGACTTTCCGACCCCTTGGAAAGTCTGTAAATAGCTATTAAGTGCCACTAACATCTATGACATCTTGAACATGCTTCCTTATCAGTTAACCTCAAAGGAATATTGTCAATGTACTTACACATCAAATGCAACATAGCATTTATATTCACCATCACAACTTTCAATGGGCTATCCTAGCATTTTTATACTACAGCTATACTTGAACAAAATTCAGCTGTAGCAAAACATTTCAGTTTCATTTGTCTTCTTATGGGCAAAATTTTTCTCCATTGATTAAATCCAGTAACATCTACAAATCTAGTAGTAAGTAAATACATATGTGAAGTATGTAGTTCTTATGCTGGTAAATCTTTAAAAGAAGTTAGGTAAAATTAACTATATAGAGATATTTTAAGAATATGATGGCTTGAGTTTAATGTATCATACTGTATCATTTAAAATGTTTTATAATTATTGATATGTAGAGTGAGAGACTAGAATTGTTCAAATAACATACAGAAAACTTAAGTTTTATTAGACAAAGTGATTTGGGTTTTAAATCATACAATAATCCTATCCTGTCCTATATAATAAAAGCCTAATATGCTAAGTGTCCGGTTGACCAGTCAGCCATTCAACCAATCAAAACGTAATATGCTAATGATATGCTAAAGTCGCTCAACTGCTTGCTATGATGTGCACTGACCACCAGGGGGCAGATGCTCTGACTGGTAGATTAGCTTGCTGCTGGGGTCCGACCGACAGGGACTGAGTGAGACAAGATGGACATACCCTGGAGCCCTCCTGCAGTCCCTCTTCAGCTGGCCAACCTCCCATGTACTTCCCCACCCCCAATCATGCACCAGTGGGGGTCCCTCGGCCTGGCCTATGCCCTCTCACAATCTGGGACCCCTCGGGGGATGTCAGAGAGCAGGTTTCGGCCCAATCCCACAGGCCAGGCTGACGGACCCCACTGGTGCACGAATTTGTGCACCAGGCCTCTAGTCAGTTTATAACATAAAAGACAAAGATCTACTAAAGATGTTGATTAAACTGACTCATTATCTACCAATGTGAAAAACACAAACAGAAAAGTAACACTATGTAAAGAAGGTTAAAATACCCATTAGCCCATTTAGTTACCAAGCATGAGGCTCCTAGACCTTACTAAACACCCAGGTGTCTAAGATAAATGTCTGTATGAAAAAAATCTGAACTATTTTTCCCAATGTTGCTAAATCTGTCCCATGTAGTCTTAGCTAGTTATAATAAGTAGAAATATTCTATATGTATCCCCCCTACACCAAATGTGTATTTTATTTTTTTTTAATGTTGTCAAATAGTTATGTTGAGGAAATTATTTCAGAGATTTTTCCAAGTTCCTTTCTCAAATCAGGGAAGTTTTAGAATTAAAGTAAGAACTAAGAGTACCAAGAAACTCACGTACTTATACTTTTTTGTTGTGAAAAGAACATTAAAAAATCACATAAAATAACAGAGAAAGCATCATTACCACAATATTGAAATTCAAATTAGCAAGTGATTCAAACAATTAGTAACTTAAGACTACCAATCATTTTCCCAGTTAAATTTCCCACAATTCTTTCAAAAACAGTTTAACATCTGCTTTGTGACAGGGAGTATCCTAAGTATTTCTAAGATTATCAATGAATAAAACATCACAGACCTGGGGGGAACCACAGAGTTAGTTACCTGGTGAAAATAAACTTAAAATTTTAAAGATCTTCAAAATATGTTTAATTTAAATGTTTTGCTCCTTTTGGAGTATAAGCCTCCAAACAGAAAGTTCTGGAAACATTCTATCAAAATGGGTCTAAAAGTGTACTGTTCCTCAGAAGATATAAGAACTCTAGCACTTGGGAGGCAAGTATATAAATCTAGACTTGTGGCTAAGTCTGAGACATATTTATGTATGGTTCTTCTAAATTCCACAGTTCAACATGCTAAATGCTAAATCTCTTTGAAATTATAAAATAAGACTTATGCCTATAATACTCCAGTTATTGATTAAACTGTTTTAGACTTCTATTTATATTATTTAAAAAAATAGTTTTAGTAGCAACAACCTATACTGATCACTTACCTACAAAAATAATTTCTGGAGTTCCTACCTAATGGATTTTTAGCTCATGTAGGTCATTACTAAAATAACTTGAATGTTCCTAACTCAAAAAGAAAACATATAGGATATGATATCCTCCCAAAATGTATACACACATTTTGAATAATTACAAAGGCAGTGTTTATCAAAATACATCTCATTTTCAAAACTGAGCTATCAGCTGTTAAAGTGTATATACATTTTTTAGGACACCCTGTATTTGCTGCCTTTTCAGATTTTCTTACTATATTATCTTAGAAAAAAAATTGTAAAAAAGAAACTTACCTTTTCAATATTTCCATATAAGCAGAATAGGTTGAAGACTCTTGAACAATTCATTTTTAGTGGATGTAATCCACTAACCATCACAACCGAACCAGAGGGATTTCCTCCATGCATGTAAGAGGAAGAAGCCTGCGGTAATGGATATGCAACAAGCTCAGGTGTATCTCGAGAGCCCATTCTATAACGACTCGGTAAAGGCAACAACGGACCGTGCGACCCTATAAAAATGACCAAAAAGAAAGGAAGGAAATAAGGAAGGAGGGAAGAAGAGGGGAGAGAGAGAGAGAGAGAGAGAGAGAGAGAGAGAGAGAGAGAGAGAGAGAGAGAGAGAGATAAGGGAAGGAAAGGAAGAAAGGAAGAAAGGAAGAAAGGAAGAAAGGAAGGAAGGAAGGAAGGAAGGAAGGAAGGAAGGAAGGAAGAAAGAAAGAAAGAAAGAAAGAAAGAAAGAAAGAAAGAAAGAAAGAAAGAAAGAAAGAAAGAAAGAAAGAAAGAAAGAAAGACAACTTTAGCAAATACAATATACCACGCAAAAAAATAAGCTCTTACTATAACTAGACTGACGTATGGCCAAAGAAAACTCAGATGTGTGAATGTTCAAATATAACCTGTGTGAATTAATAAAATTTACATTTGTACCAGATCCCATATACATAGGCCTGCATGTATCTGCATACAACAGGTTTTGTGTTTCTGTATTTTAAAAAAAAATAGTAGTTTAACCCCCCAAAAAAGTATATAAGTTCAGGCCACAGATAGGGAGGGGGAAATCAGAGTAAATCTTTGGGCCACTGTATATACATTATACCTCAAGTTTTTAAAAAAATCCCTTCTGCCAATGTCTTTTAGAGGATAATACAATAACATATACAGTGAAATCTAGAACACTATATACAGATATAACAAAAAGAACATCTTTGGTTCTCCTTTAAATATAATTTACTATAATGTACTTTCAGGTTAGTATTTTATTCTACTACTAATTTATTTAATATCACACCTATTCAGACCCACTTTTTGCAACAACATCAAGAACCAGAAGAAAATGCCTGAGTACCTAAACCTGTTGCCACAGAAACACAAAAATCTACATCTCTTATACTGCAAATCCTTAAGAATTCACCTGCTAACTTCAGAGTAGTTCTAAACAACTTCATCTGTTTTTCCCATCCACAACAGATTGGAAGTAACAAGAAAAATAAAGCTCGAGTGAGTGAAATAGACAGGAATCAGGGAGTCTGGAGAAAGTTCTTACAGCATAAGAACTCAGAATGGGGCAACTAAGCTGAAGATAAATAGCTCAGAAATACATCTAAGGAGCTCCTGAGTTAGTGATTATAAAAGCACATTCTTGAAACATGCAAAAGTCCTCCTGATGGGCAAGAAACCAATTCAAAATCCCAAGTCCTTTGCTCATTTATCAAAAGTGAAGAGTATATAATGCTTCTGACTTTCATTTTTATGAGACTAAGGGACACTTGTCATCTACTGAGTTACTAAGAATTACTATATTCTGGTATAACAGCATGCTACTAGAGCTTATGTGGACTACAATTCAGTATTCTAAGTATAGCTGCCATTCATAACATAGCAACACCACCACTGGGCACATGCAAATGGTGTGAATTCCTGCAATTTTATAAAGCAGTGATTTTCAACTGGTGTGCCACAAGAATTTTTAAAACATGCAATACCTGGCTCTATTCAGGGACACTGACCTCTTTTCCCTTAGATCGTCAAATAAAAAAATGACAATAGCCAACATGACAATAACCTTCCGGTGTAAATCAATCAAAATTATATCTTTTTTTGTCAGATCAGCAAAAAATATAATTTTGGTGTGCCGCAGAATTTTAGTAATTAATTTATATGCGCCATGAGATGAAAAAGGTTGAAAATCGTTGTTATAGGAGAAAACTTATCAATGCATTGTCATCGGTGTTGCCTTAAGTTGGTCATGGTTTTCAACTGCTCTTCTGCTGGTAATTGGTAGTTTATCAAAACAATCAATATAGGTCAGGGTGAGTTACTTGTAACTATACATATTTTGGCCTCTAATTTAAACTGTTATACATACACTGGGGTCATGTATCAATCATTATTATCCCTCTTAGAAAAGTGCACATACATATTATATTGCACCCCACCACTTGCTTAATAGTAAAGTGTACAATAATGACACTTTACTATTATCACTAAATTTTCTTTTCCATGGAAACTGGGCAAGATGTCTGGTAGATGGGCAGCAGACACCTTCCACTCTACATAAGCTGGCCAATGTAAAAAACTTGGACATCTACTATCTATGTAAAAATCAAATTCAGTGCAAGAGTATCACTTAAGTTTATAATTAGCCATCAGAATTAAATTATGTTACTTATAGAACTTAAATTGTTGCCTACATTGTTTAGGAAGATAAGAAAAACACAGAACTATCCTAACTAGTTCATGCAAAAAAGTTTGGTGCCTGAAAAACTAATGCTTCAGGTATTTAAAAAATTCACTTATGTGAAAAAATGCTACATAATAAATAGGCATTATTAACATTTTGAAGGCATTTTCTATCTTTGATATTCTAAAATCTTTGGTCCAGGAACCACATCCAAAGGTCCACAAGCTTTTCTTGGGCTCACCCCAAATAAATCTGTATGTTTATTTTTGCCACTTCTCAAGTATAAGGGCTTTTACCGGTTCACCTCATAGGCTGGGCTTCCCAAATTAAAAAGAGCTAAAGAATTCTGAAAGCACAGATTTAAACTGTTATAAAAATTAAATAACAAATTTAATCTAATTAAATAATTAAAGCTCTTACATACCAACATAAAGGAAAAGCCACATGTGATATGGCACAAAAATGCAAATAAGCCTGTTTTTCAGAACTGCTAAATCTAAGGGATACAGCTGTGATTTGCAGGATTTCTAAAAACGTTCAGTATCACTAGCACCCACTCCCATCATCACCTTTCCCCAATTTCACACCTACTTCTCTGCCTCTTTATTCACTTCTCTCTCTTTTTCTTTCCCTCTCTCCCTCTCCTTCTCTCTCCTCCCACCCTACTCCCGGTCCCTCTCCCCTCCTATACCCTATTTTTCATACTTCTGTAGGAAAGTAGAATTATTCTCAGTTAAATATTTCAATGGACATAGCTCAGAATGGATGCCCTACACAACCCCACCACAACCATTCCTCTTCAGCAGAATTCTCCAGAGACTGAAAGATCCCTATTTAATAACATCATCATTCCAAAGAATTTTGTACCTCATCTCTTTAAGTAAACTTGTGCTTTAAAATTTACACACACACACACACACACACACACACACACACACTCTAAATAAATTAGGGCATGAAACTGACAGAGTATTGTATACTAGGCTTTAAAAATATATAAAGTTCTTCTAGGGCATAAAACGTATTTTTATTTATACAATTTTACAATAAGATAAATTTTATAAAGGAAGGAAAACCTGAAAACTCACACTGAGAAAAGTATGTGTCAACACTACTACAGTAGACTTCTTTGTCCTTCATTTATTCTTTCACAGATTTTTCTAGCCTGCTTTGCCAAACATTAATCAATTTTAACCTTCAGCTGACACCCATGACACAGTTATCTATTCCACAACTCCACTACAGACTTGTGGTTAGCAATTCTTTTGTAACCCTCCATTATGCAAAGCACAGTGGGCTCCTAATAAGTGTTTCGTTACTGCAGGGTCAGAATTATCCAAACGACCACTGTTAACATTTACACTGTCAAAGAAACTAAGACAAATTATCAAGCAACACACTCACTAAATTGTCAGTCCGTAGTAAGATTTTCATTCTATACACCACACTTACTGTTTTGATATAGCATATTGTTTCAATGTCTTCTGCCATAAAGACTACTACAGAAACTTCAACAAACACAAACGTAATAAATTGCTGGAGTTCAAAAAACAACCACAGGGAATAAGCTAAAATTCACAGCTAAGAATGGTCATCAAGCATGTAGGCAATTTGAAAATATTTCAGACAATAGGCAATACCAGGGACTTTTCTATGATAAAGTAATTTCCACTTTCTATTCCAAATAGCACTGGACTTCAACTTTAAACCACAAAATAGGAGTCAATAAAAACTAAAAAATATTTAAAACCACAGAACTTATAACCAGTTAATCTTATCAACAGCAATTCTCAACATCTACTCACAAGAACAATAGCCTGAGAGCTCTCTTTCCTGAGGAAGAAGATTATTCTAGGCTGCATAATCTTAAACTTACCAACATAGCAAACATTAAAACCAAAGAATTTTCTTTTTTAAAAAAAACTAACGAAGTTTTAAAAGAGAAGTTAAATAAAACTAATTTAAAGCCAAAATACCAACTGTAGAACTAAAATAATTAAAGATCTAACCAGAAACATGTTTCCTTTTCAATAAATACCCTTCTTCCTGCCTTTCTTACTCAAAATTCCTCTTTGTTCATAATTGCTAGAATAAAAATACAGTTTACTGAGCAATAATACTTCTTTTTGGTCCTCTAACAAAACCAGAGCCCATTACTAATCAAAACCAAGACAAAACAAAACAAGGTATAATGGTAAAAAATTAAAAATTAAAAAAAAACTTTCGAATCCCCAAATAGTAACTCTCAATTATCTCAAGAATTATATAACATATCAATATTCTAAAAAAAAAAAAAAGATTTTGGACAACTCCTTGGGAATACATTCTAAGGGACCAATCCCATATAAACCAAGTCAAATGAGCAGGAAATATAGAAACAAGAAATGTGCCATTCGTCAGAAATGCAAAAATGCTAACAGTTCATCTATACTACCTTCCTTCTGCCTTGACAAACTTACCATAGCCATCATGTCTAAACGAAGAAGGGTGTTCTCCCAAAATGGCTTGTCTCTGGCGACCCTTTCCTCTATCTGACACAAAAGTAGAAACATGGTTTTAACAATTTTGATCCAAGTACTTAACAGAGTTCTCACATGGGAAAACCCATTCAAAACATCCATTACAATTCATAATAAAAGAAATATCATTCCTGGTTAACTTTAAACATCCATTATATCCATTTTAAATACAAACACCAAAAGTTTAAAGTACTTCTATCTAACAAACTCCACTTAACTTGAAAATATCTTTTTGGCAGATGCCAAATACAATCACACTTTCAAAATTAAGAAGAATGGATACTTTTCAGAAAGTGAATGTACACAATGCTAGAGTTTGACACTGTACAGAAGTTTTTACCAATACATGTCTTTAAAACAAGCTTTAAGTGCAGTACTTTTGAAAGACAGTACCTGAATCATACTATTAGCTTCAACAGCAACACATTTTCAAAGTGGGCTTCTTTCAAGAAGTTCAGCATAAGCCAACAACAACCTGTATTACATGGTTTCACAATCAGTAAACACAGAGTATTTTGTATGTATATACACATATTTACAAACACCTACAGACTTCAGAGCTGGAAATTTGCACATCACTGGCCCAGATTATAGCATGGACTGGTCATTGTGTATAGATCTTAACACCAGGCAGGACTATGAGCACCCCCCAACGTTTAAATATGCCAAGATAAAGCTAACCAAGGGGGCTACATTATTGGATGAGAATACTACAATACTCCTGAAGTATAATTTTTATTTTAGCTACATCTTCAGGGAAGGCATGCCAATGTTCCCAAATCTAATTTGAGGTGTCAATAAAAAGTAAGTTTCTAAAATAGCACTTCCTATGGTTGGTTAGTAAATTTTAAAATTCATTGTACAATACTTTTAGAAAATTTGCTGATCAAATTCTAGTGCCCGGTAAGATTTGTTTAAATGTATCTTAAGAGTCTGGTCATTCTAATCTTTGAAAATTCAAAGAGAGAGAGGCTCTTTATATCATCATAGTCAACTAAACAAATGAGATTTATGGGAGATGAGAAATACTTTAATTTTCACCTCAGTCTAGAGAAATATCATTTTAATTACCTATTCCAAGTTATCACAAGCATTGATAGAGAACTAAGGTCATTTAGTTCCATTTTTATTCAGTGTGTAAATTTTCTTTACATCATCCCAATCAATTGGGACCATCTAGCCCAGGGATGGAGAACATCTGGCCCTCGGGCCACATACGGCCCTCAAAATCATTTGGTCTGCCTCTGCCAAAGCATTAGGCGTGAGTTAATTAAATGTTTGACCAAATATAGCAGGCTAATTTTTACGTTGATAATTCTGTATGGCCCACAAATGATGTTATAAATATCCAAATGGCCCTTGGCAGAGAAAAGGTTCCCTACCCCTGACTAGCCTCTGCTTACCCAAACCAGTAACAAGATACTCACTACTTTCCCTTACATTTTCAGGAACCTAAATCATCAGGAAATTAATTTTTGTATTATATAGAAATTGGTCCTCTATCCATATTCTATCCCATTTGGGGCCTTATTCATTCTTTCTCCAAAAACCCTTCAAGTGCTTCAAAGCTATGATCCCCTCCCACTCCATTTCCCCAAAGTCATTTCTTCTCCAGACTAAACATTCATAGTTCCCTTTTTTCATTAAATCATCATCATTTAAGTCTCACTCCTCTTGAATCAATCCAATCTGCTAATACATTGTGCTAATGTGCCTCTATTTAAGCATGCCACCAACACTAAATACAAATCTAATCTAGAAATTTTCAACCAATATCAGCTTGTTTTCAGGGCTCCGTTTTATTGAGATAGTTAATAGTGTGCTATAAAGGAAAGAGCAGTGGATTGAGAATCAGATCCCCACTTAACCACTAACTTGCAGTATAATCACAGAAACAATCTTCATTCATAAAATGAAGGAGTTAGGATAGGTATAATCTCCAAGTTATCTTTCAGCCAAACATCCTCATTATTAATCATTCTCTTTATTTGAAGCATTCACTACCTAATATAAGGTCACAAAAAATAGAAGAAGTGTGCAGAAGAGTCATACACTGAACACACCAGTCTATAAACAGTGTTTGTAACCTTTCTTGGTTTCATCAGAAATCTGATGGAAGCTGTGGGCCTTCTCCCCCAAAAGATACATATATAGACAAGTTTTGCTTAACATTTCAGAAGGGATTCTCTGGAGTCCAGGCTAAGAATTCTTTACACTGAAATGTAATTTAGGCTGAAAAGGACTTTAAAAATGAGGTTATATTTATAAAAGCGCTTTGTTTTGGTAGAAAAGTTACACTTCAATATCAACTTGAATAGAAGCTAGTCACTACAAAAAAAACTGCTATCGTCTTGCCAGACCACAAAAATTCTTTTCCCTTGAAAGCATAAACAACTAAAATTCTGTTTGACTTCCTTTAATTATACTTCACTATTTAAATATCTACCTTACACATTTCTAAACTTTTCTGACTGCAATTCCCTGCATGAAAAATTAATGTAAGCTGGCTTTGTATAAACTTTTGACCTTTTAAAAGAATAGATGTTAACACTATCAAAATAAGAAGCATGTCTATAAATGTTTTAAGAGACATTAAGAAAAATGTAACCAAAATCACTATTTCAACTAAGTAAAACAACAAACCCTAAGTGTTCAAGAACTGACTATAATTTGACAGAAGTGAGAGATTTCTCATCAACCACTTGTTCTGCTGTTTGAGTACTAAGACTTTGTTTTCCAATACTGTATTCAACTGCACCAAGCCTGTACCAAGCGGATTTCTGTGAGTAGTGAAAAATGTGGGGGTCCAGCCAAAGCTGCATTACAAAACAAATCTTTTTGTAACCCCCTACATAAGGCAAGATAATTTCCTGAAAATTGAGAATTAAAGGGGCCAATCATCCAAAAGTCCTAAATATTTAGAGTCCAAGGACCACTGCATTGTATTTTTTCTTTGGGCAAGAGTACATACTCTATCATAGAGTCCCTACTGCCCAAGATGTTTCGGATGCCATAAAAATTTTTCCTTGTTTATTAAATTTACAGACATACTCATCTTGGTGAGTTTTCCCAACATATGGTTCAAATGCTGATATTGTAGTTGAGATGTAGCCAATATTGCAGCCCCCTTGTTTTTACAAGATCCACATTTTAGTCTGTAATTCCAAAATTGCCACACACTTAGTTGAACAAGTTTACCAGTAAAATCTATGCTCATGAAATCTAGCATTTGTAGATTATAGGTGAAAATGTATCTCAAATGAACTGCTCTTATATTCAGGTTTATCAAGTTTAAAATATATTTTTCTACCTTGAACAGACATGTTACTTTCACCTACATTTGAAATGTCAAAATTTCTAGTTACACAAATTAACATGAGTGATAACTTTAAATTGTTACAAAAAGTAACAACTTATAAACAGCCACTTTACAAAAATCAAACCACACAGAAAATTGTCGTTTACATATCATGCACGTTTTCATTATATGATTCTATTCAATGACCACACTGGAGGGGAAAAAACTTAAGTGCAGCAAGTGTGCACCTTTCTAATCCTTTTATCGTTAATATCTGTGTGGATTGGTTGAGCATTATCAATTCCCAAGACCTGTAGATAAACTGGCCCTGGTATTTGCCAATTAACAATTTGAATCTAAGCTGCAAACAGTTACAGTAATGGGCATTAATATTTACAACATTGTAGGTAACGTCTAGTATCCGTTAGTGTAAAATCTTAAATTCTACAACTGAAACCTTAAGGGAAATCAGACCAATATATACATACAACTTGAATACATGGGCACAGTCTATCATGGTGTTCATCCCATGCAAGTCTGAAGTACTGTTAAGTGTCCTCCTTTAAAAACTTGGGTGATGGTGCATGCAGTATGCAGTCAAGGTGAATTGCAAGTCTGAGTTTTTCAGAGGGCTTTTTGCTGATGCCGATGTTGTGCATGATGAAGTGTAGAGTCAGCCTGCTGGAGTCCTCTATCCTTCTTAATGCCTCGTCCAGCTTGGGGGGAAAGTCCTTTCCATAGAGAAGCAGTGTGCAAGTCTGAAGTTTGTAAGGAATATTCTGAATCAGTTTCCTCTCCTCCAAAGAGAGAGAGCTGCTTGGAGAAATGCAAGTCCTTGAACTGCGGGCGTGCTTGTATGTGTGGGCTCCTTTGTTGAACTAAATATAAATAACTCAGTACATACCAGTAGGGGGCACTAATGTTCAAGGTTATTTTCCAGCATTACATGGCCTTTTGCAACAAAAGCATTCACCAACATTTTCATTTGAATGAACTAGCTCATCTCAGGAAAAAGGAATCTAACTTCATGTAAAATTTTTCAGCAGATGTAATTACATTCTAAAATGCATAAAATACTTACCTCGTCTTCCCAAATATGGTTTAGTGTAGTCCCAACTGTCATTGTCATTCCTAATAACATTTAGACGAGTTGGCTGTTAAGATTAAAAAGAAAGTTCAAATTTAATATATAATACCAAAGCATAAATATTTCTTTGGTGAAGTGTTGAAAAAAATATTTACCCTTGCATATTCAATCTTTAGTGTGCAACATCCAGCATATATATCTGCTCCATTGAGTGCTGCTTTAGCTTTCTGGGCACAAAGGACTGATTCAAACATAAGCTCTATTAAGGAAATCTGGTTTAAGATGTCCAATATTTAATCATTATCCAATCCCTAGAAAAGGACTTAAAAAATTAGAAATAACTCTTTCACTTCTAGAAATGTTTTACCAAATAAAATTTCTAGATGAATTTTAGTAGGAGAATTTAATTTTAATATCAAAGGTACCATTGCAGGGTACATAAGGGTTTAAGAACTATGTTGTACACCTGAAACTAGTATAACATTGTATGCCAACTGTAGTTTAAAAATAAATTTTAAAAATAAATTTTAAAAAAAAGGATCAATGATATTAAAAGTAACATAATACAACCTACCTATCTACATATAAATCCTTCTAAGTTATCAGAAGTACTTTTTAAAATGGAGAGAAGGGAAAGGGGCATGGTCACATTCCCTAGCAAAAGAGAACTCGCTATCTCGAAACAGGCAATATTTTACTCTTAACATTACAAAGAACCAAAATAATACAAAACAAACATTTAATTTTTATATATTTCTGAAAAGGCAGGGTTTTATAATCATGTAACTATCTTCATTTTATTGTTTTTTAAAATTACGTGTCTATAATTTTTTAAAATCTGTAATTCTTTCCAAAAAATAAAATCAAATCACAAAAATGTTAAGAAAAGAAAAAAAAACCTCTCCAGAAGCACCATTAAAGAGTTTGCTATAAAGCCCTAACCTTTCTCTATGCATACATTAGGGTTTTTGGGTTTTTTTTAATATTTTTAAATTGGATTGTACTTTATGTACTATTTTACAACTTGCTCTTTTTATTCAACATATAACAAATTTAACAAAAAAAAATAGTTCTTACATAAACTATGACCATCTAAGATTCAATAAAGAAAGGTAAGAAAGGTTCTATTGATTCTACAATTTTGGTATTTCCAAACGACCTATTTTAAGAAGAGCTTCAGAAAAGTTCATTCAAGATAAATTTTAAAAAGGTAAAAGTGTATATATTATCAGTTATTTTTCCCCCACTAAAAAGGCAAAGCACTGGATTGTTTCATGGTAGCAAGCAAAATTCCCTATGGGTGTGGAAGTTTCATTTTTTAAATCTAAGAAAAAGAGATTGAGAGGGAATAAACACCATTTGCCCAGAAATGATTACATAGGAAAAAATAAGGTCTATGTTACACAGCATTCACACATATCAATAAAAAAATTATAAATAAAGGATATTCAACCATTGCTTGTATCCCATTTCTCTTGAATATAACAATACGTTGCACTTTTCCAACAGGGTTGCATACAGTATATAAAACATCCTAAGAAGGAAAGGAAAAGATTTCTTCACATTTTGTATTTGGAAAAACATTAAAGCTATACACTGATTTCCTTTACTTAAAAAACTAACAAGGGTGGAGACAGGCTGGGAGACGACAATGGGGGGGGAAAAGGGGGCATATGTAATACTTTCAACAATAAAGAATTTTTTAAAACTATCAAGATATCACTTCTATTAATTACTAATTAAACTTTAAAAGTTGTTATATTTTAATAAATCTAAAGTTACTTCCTCACCTACACAATATATCCGCACATTAGAGAAGTTCCAATGAAACACATTTGAACTTGACCTATTTGATCTCTAAATGAATCCTCAATTTTTATTTTCTAAATAGGTGACTAAAATGCTGGCTATACACAATTAATACCAAAACTGTAATCAATTAACTTATTTTTTCCAAATATCACCAAGAAATGTTTCATATTACAATACTGAATTACAGTAATAAATACTTATTAAGTGGTAATAGAATAGCTCAGTATCCATTTTTCAAGGAACAATGGCTATTCAGAAAAGACACAGGGAAGATTATTTATACAGTGTTAGATGGCATTGAACAGGATGCCTGAATCATCTAAGAGAGAATTTAAACACCTTCTTAGGAATAATTCTTCAACTTTCAAGAATTACCATTAGGTTCTAGGGATACAACAATAAACAAATCAGAGTACTTGTACTAGATTACGTTATATTCTTTTTTCCAAAACACCAAATACTGCAAATATATTAGCACTGTCTATTAAGCCTATAAATATTATAAAGATAAATGTCTAATTAAAGTTAAAGCATAAAATACGATTTAAATTTATGTCCCAATATCATATACCCTTACTAGAAATGGTACAAATTAAAGAAATAAGGCCATTTTTTAACAGGTTTTTTATCAAAAAACCTTATAATAATGGCATATGCATCTTACAATATACTATGGGAGTCTGTCATTACCTAGTAGATGCTTGTGAAACATGTGCTGGCATGAGTGAGAGAGAGAATTCTCAGATCATTTCTAAGTCTGTAGAATTTCTTATTAGAAACAGTTAACACTGATGCTTTAATGTTCTTACCTAATAATGACAACTGTGCTTCTGACCTTTTTAGCACCAGTGCTCACCATTTCTTTGTTCATTAAGCTTAATAGTCAAAATTAATTTAATAATTCTAAAGACAACCACTATTTTTAAATATTTAGATGGCAGTAAAGAAAACTATGTTAGTCGTTCTAACGGAAAAGTCCAAATCACTTTTGATTTAGTTTGGCATATTAAAAATCCATACCACTGTAATTGGATAAAGAGGATTCTGAATTGATAATAGAAGAACTTTGTTGCCTCCTGATGGATCATCAGTATTTCCTGGCCGAGTGATCCTTTTGCTTGTAGAATAGTTGAAAAAAGCCTGTTGACCAGCAATGTACACAGGTTCATCCGCAGCAAATGTCACACATTCTTTGGCACTATCTATGTTCTCAAATTCCACGAGAGCCTGCCGTTTAAATGGCATCATCATCACATAGCTGGAAAGAGATTGGGAGGGAATACCCAAATACAGTAAGTTCAATTAACATTATTTATTTTCAATCAAGTAAAAGCAGACTTTAATAAATTATTATCTACTGATTTTTCCAAATAACTGCACACACTTATAATTGACTATACTTTCACTTATCTTACTAAAAACAGAGAACAGATAAAAAACAATGGCAAACTGACCAAATTTCTTCCCTAAATCTCACCCAAAGTATTTTTAAATATTAAAGAATGTGAAAAGATATTTATTAGAATATCACACATATTTTAAGAATACACTTAACTCTCTGGCACATAATTTTTTTTAAATCTTTAAAAAGCATTAATATGAGGAAGATCGAAAGACCAAAGAGAGAAAAAAATAACCAAAATGGCTAAGGGACATAGTGGGTTCTTTCAACTTACAGCTCAAGACATGTTTACTAAATTTTAAATGAAAACAGGGAGAGGCAGAAGATTTACTATACAAATTAGATCTCAAAAGTTCTGTTACAAAATTTTAAATTGATCACTATCTAGCATCCTCTCCTTTACTGGGAGTGGGGAAGGGAGAAAGAGAGACTCAGCATATATTTTTAAATATTCTTTTGATTATAATACACAAATACATTATAAAATAAAGACAAATAAAAAATATAGCAATTTTATTATCCTGACATAATCATTCTCAACATCTTGCTATAGTTTCTCTTGAACTTCCTTCCTATGCATTTAACTTTTAGGTATAAACTTAGCAAATATTGAACTTGATGATTCACCCTTTTAGTATGAGCAGTTTCTGTATAATCTTTATAATTATACATCACAAAATAAACAAACAAATAGGAAAAGGTTCTATAAATACATTTTGAAGCAAAACACCTGCTTTTCACTGGAGACTATTCGAGGTTCCTTCAGCTTCAATAGCAGTTACTTATTCAATATCATTTCATACAATTGAAACTCCTATTATTCATATTTATGTCAATTAAGCTCTTAACTATACACTAATTTGTTCCAATTATTTCACAACTTTTCTATCCACATAACTACCAATCTTGAGGGCAGAACAATGTACTATGCACATTAACTGAATAACATCCATACATGGAACACTTTACCCTGGACAAAGTATCAAACAGTACAGAGTCTAAAAAAAGAACAGGCGCCCTAACTGGTTTGGCTCAGTGGATAGAGCATCGGCCTGTAGACTGAAGGGTCCCAGGTTCGATTCCGGTCAAGGCATATACCTTGGTTGTGGGCACATCCCCAGTAGGTGGAGGTGTGCAGGAGGCAGCTGATTGAAGTTTCTCTCTCTTTGATGTTTCTAATTCTCTATCCCTTTCCTTCCACTCTGTAAAAAAATCAATAAAATATATTTAAAAATAAATAAATAAATAAAAAAGAACAGGCTACCCAAAAGTAACTCAAATTACTGACCAACTTAAACACATAGGTCTACTTCTTTAATCCCAGCATTCAGGTCATGGTCATAAATAACATAAAAGTTTCCATCTGTATTTTCCCATCAACATGTTTTTCCCACATAGCTTTAATATTTCTTGGCTATAAGAAAATAACTTTAAAAGCCCTAAATATATAAGAACAGAAGAAAAATAAACCAGAAATAACCATCTCTTTATAACTCCATGGGACAATGCACTACTTAGAAGGTCCTTATAGTGAATGGAGTTAGTCTGGTGCCAACACCCAAGCCTAAAAAAGGTCAAAGGAGTCTGCTTCAATACATAACTCTTCAGACAGACTATCTTCCAAGATCTACTCTATATGACTAAGAAGTGATATGGTAATCTTAGTAATAATTCAATAAATGGGCTTTCTTATGCCCATGTGAATTCCCAATTTGTACCTCCAAGGATAAACATTATGTGTGTTAGTGATTTCTGAGGTATGTAAGTTGAGGATAATAGGTTTGCCAAGTTATCTACCTCTCAATGAAGTCACCAAAGAAATTAATTAAAAAGATGTCATGATAGAAGTTATCACCTAAAACTACTACTCCTTTGAAGCAATTATTCCTTTCTGTTGGATATCTCTAATCACTCCCTCACCATCTATTTATGTATTATCCTTTCAATACTCAAAAACTCCATATAAATATTTATAAAATTGAAGCAACCAAGCCATCTCAGCAAATATATTGAAATGTCTCTCCTGTTTATCTATTTTGACTTAGTCTGTGTCACTGAGGCCTACAACAAAACTCCAAACATATTCATCAAGGAAAAAAATAATAAAAATCAACTCTAGATTATCCATGCTAAGAAGAGAGCAATAACCAAACATACTCCAAAAATAATTTAGGAAGAATTTTTAAGTGTCTACTTTTGGTAGCAGTTTCACTTTTCTAATTATGTTTTCACTTAAGTCAATATTCATAAGCACACACCAGCTGTGTGAACATGGAAGACAAGCTAGGATAAAACACTGACTGCTCATGACCTGCAAAAGAACTCACCACAGCATGTAACTAAGCAAATAATGCCTACCTTTCATCTACACACTTTTAGTTGCCAGTTCCTAAATATTCCAAAATAATATTTTAATCAGTATTTAAGCCCTGGCCAATGATGCTAAGTGGTCAGAGCATCAACGCTCGCACCAAAGGGTCTTGGGCTCGATTCCTGGTCAAGGGCACAAACCTGGGTTGCAGGTTTCATTCCTGGCTCTTGTTCGGGTGTAGCTCTTGTCAGGGTGCGTGTGGGAGGCAAGCAATTGATGTGTCTCTTTCACATCAATGTTGCTTTCTCTCTCCTCCTCCCCCTCCCACCCTCCCTTCCACTCTCTCTAAAAAGATTGGTGGGGGGAAAAGAAAGGAAAAAAAAAGATAAAAAAAGACAAAGATTGGTGGAAAAAATATCCTTGGGTGAGGATTTTTTTAAAAAAATCAGTATTTATGTAATCAACTCATTGGTTTAAAGCAGTGTTTAAGAAGGAAGGAATCATGGACTCATCTGAAAATCAGATGAAAGAAGCAATAATCAATTTACATATACAACCTAGTTGGGAAATAAGAGGTGATCTGATCAAGGCCACAAAAATACATCCATGCAACATCCCGTAAAGGTTAAAAACAAGATTCCAAAGAAATTAAGTGATAACATCAAGGCAGTAGCAACCCAGCTGCTGGTTCTCCCATACTGTTTTCAATCTGCATGAAGTCCCTATTGTCCTTACCATATTGTCCCAAATTTTTCCAGAGCCTCCACGAGGTCCGCTTCCACCACAGATTCACAGAGTCCTCGAACATGGACAACGGGTGAAACAGAAACTTTATGATGACTTCCACCTGCCTCCTAGCAAGAGAAAATAATTTGTAATTAAAAACTTAAAAAACCCAAATTATATCTCTTAGTACATTCAACTTTGTCTTAAAAAACAAACATTTTTTTTTTAAAGTTGCGGTGAAGCCCTAGGGGAGGAAGCATGATGGAGAGGGTCAATGGGAGGGTTTGAAAAGGGGGACTTGTGTAATACTTTCAATAAAGACAAATTTAAAAAAAACACACACACACATTTGCAAAAGGACCTAAAAGTAAAATCACCAATGAAATGTCTGGCATGAATATTTTTATTTCTTAAAAGGGAACATTCTTTCTCAATAAGAAGTAAAAATTAAGTTATTTAATAACTTACTTCAACTTCAAGAAACGCTCAGAAAAAAACTTCAGCAGATAACACAGAGAATACTAAGATTGAAAATATTTTATATTCATAATTTCATAATTTTACCCCCATAAAATCAAATTCTCAAGAAGTCCAAATGAACAAAAAGTCCCAATTTAAAACTTTTCTTTAATATAAAGATTATATACTTTATTTTTTCTGTAATATAGATTTATATAATCTTTTGTCCTTATTTTTAATTGGTTACCTAATCCCACTACAACTTGAAGTTACTCAGCAGTACACGTGACAACTTAAGTTTATACAAAGTACCATCTTTGTTGAACAAGGAGTTCTCAGAATCACCAGCCTTCGGGGCTTCTATGGAATACTCTGCATCTTTTAGTATGCCCAGCAGGAAGTTTTAAAATGTTAAGTATATGGTCTTAAAACTTATTTTAAAAGGGACTATGTAAGAGAGTTATTTTTAAAATTAAAATAGTTCTCATTTACTTACTCAAGTTTTATTAAGACAAAGATTTATATTTACAGGTAGCCGCTGGGCACCTCTCTTGCATCACTTCAGAAATTATTTCCATATACAATTCACTCATATATATATACAGGTATATATGGATATATAGTACAGAGATAGCCCAAACATCTATTAAATGAAAGGTTTCTTTGTCCTCCAAACAGACTAATCTAAAAGCACTATAAAACTTAAGAATCATTTAAAGAAAATTAAATCCCTTTATGGCTATTTTCAAAGACTTGCCAATTTTTTTCATTATAAAGACTAGAAAAATAGACTTATGCCCTGCCAATCAAATATTATGTCAGAGTTAAAAAAAAAAAACTGATTTAAATATGTAAAGTAACCATGGGACAATGCTATATGATTGGTACAGCCAACAAACAATTTCAGTCCTTTGCAAATATTAATTCAATCCTTGAAATTGCTTTTGAATTGCTTAGTTTAGTCTTTTCTATGCTATCAAGGACAAACTTGAGTAACACCAATCTTAAGTGCTAATTTTGACAACTGGAGGTTGAAGACCAAGTTCTATTAAATAATAGAGATGGGAAGCTTCCATGTAAGAGGAATAAACAGGACGCATTAACATCTCTTCATACAGAAGAGCAGCAATTTAACTGTAAATTCACAAAGGCCAGGCACAACGTCCTTACGCTTTTTGTTTTCCCAACATCCCCATGCACATTTGGTCAGGAGCCACTCAACCGTCTCTTCCGGCCTATGATAGGATTAAGAAAGACCAACCTCAAATTCAGTAATTCATCCCCCAACCAGACACACAGACCCACTGCCAAGTGATTATCTAGTCTAGCCTCTCCTTAAATGACAGGAAACACACTACCTGGAGAGACAACCCCTTATACTTCAGAAAAGTCTTCATAAGATTGCATCCATTTCTGTCTCCCTGTAGTGTCCTATCCAAAATGGCTTCTGGAGTCAGATCAGCTTTTGAATCTTTGGACACTTACTGGCTCAGTGACCTTAGCCTAGTTACTTAATTTTTCTCAGTTTGACTTAAAAAAAAAACAAAAAAAGAACAGTATCCTCACCATGTAAGATGTTGGCACTCTTACCCTTATCTACATTTCCCTCTTCTACATGAGAGCCTTCAATTACTTTTAATGGTTAAATCACACCGCTAAGTTTACCCTTCAGGATAAATGTCCCTCCAGTTTCTCCTATCATTCCTCTTATGATGTGATTTTTTTTAAATATATTTTTATTTTATTTCTGAGAGGAGAGGAGAGGGAGAGATACAAACATCAATGAGAATCCTTGATCAGCTGCCTCCTGCTGGGATGGAGCCCACAACCCGGGCATGTGCCCTCACTGGGAATCGGACAGTGACCTCCTGGTTCATAGGTTGACGCTAACCACTGAGCCCGCTGGCCGGGCTTAAGATGTGATTTTTAAGTGCCCTCTCCATTCTGGCAATCTTTCTCTGGATACTTAGGAATTTATCAATGTAGTATCAAGAAAGGAGTACAGCATTTCCAGATATTCAAGATTATCCCTTCTTTGACTTTTAAAGACTTTATATAGACCAAGAACAAACTAGTTTTAAGGTGCAGCTGCAAATATTTTTTAACTCATACTATGCTTAGAGTTTATATTTTTTCTTAAACAATCACATCTCTTTACTTGGTCTTTTTCTTTTATAAAAAGAAACAATACAGCAGACCCAAAATATGAGAACTGCTTTAATTTTCCTATCCAAAGTTTTTAGGTATATTTGATCACCTAAAAATTAAAAAGAAAAGCCATGTGATTCGAATTGCTTTTTAAAATAACCTTTTTTTTTTTTTCCTCATGTACTACAAATCCTTTGGTTTTGCCTACCCCGACTCCCCACCACCACCCCCTTCTGGTAAAACACACAAAAAAGAAAAAAACTTCTTCCAATTCACATTATTATATTGATATTCTCAATCAGTCATGCCTCCCCAACTTCAGAAATAGCACAATGATTAGTTGTGGGAATGAAGTAAGAGACTAAAAAAAAAAAGTTGATCAGGAGACAAACATGGGCATTGGGGAAAAGAGAATGTTCTCTGTATTTGCTAGTTATAAGATAGAGCTGAAACAGGGAAAGAGACAGAATCGAGTCTCTATGACATCATCTAAATCCCTGAGTCCAGCCATGCCTGAAAGTAGCGCCACAAGTTGGCTTTCCCAGTTACAAGGGCCAATAAATTCCCTACCCCTGACCTCTTTTTGTTTTGCTTAAGTTCATCCCAGTTGCTGTGTCTGTAACTGCGAGCTTTGAAAGTTACATTCAATTCCACAGAGGAAAAAGGAAAGCACTGATGATGTAATTTCACTGACTTGCCAGTGTTGTGTCACTGAGAACTGCACCTGCCACATACATGGTAGGGGCTCAAGCATTTCTTAATGAGTTAAGAGATCACAGTGATCATAATCCAACCATCCCGTGCGATCGGTAGCAACCTGAGTTCCACAGCCAAGGCACATGCCTTGCTTGGGCTGCCGCTTCTATTAACAGCTCTTTTCACTTGGTACTACCACGAAGAAATAAAGCCAAAAGATAGTAATACCTACTGCTTTTCATTTCTTTCCCAAAACTAGGCCTGAAAGTCATTTACTGTAGCAGTTTATCTGAAGATTTCACTGCTCCAGAGCACACATCTTTGAATGTTTTATTCCACACAGTGTAGTTACTATGCTCACTGACACGGTCTCTAAGCTTTTCCTGTGGGAGCCACGCTAACGAAGTGACTTCATCCATCTCCCATCCCATATTCACCCAGTAAATCACCATAATATGCCTATCATCACTGTAATTTAGATCATTAAAGTGTATTAATGTATCTTAAATTCAAACTAGATTCTCTACATAATATATATTCCTTTCTTTGGAAACCCTAGGATTTACATTTTTATCTTGGCATTTTGCCATCTTGCAAATCTATTTAATAAAAAGTGAGGAATAAATGTTCATCTCATCAGCAAACAAACCACTTGGACTATCTTTAATTTCCTGTTACTCACTAGCAGAACAGAGTAAGGGGGAGGGGAGGGCAAAAACAAGGGGGAAAAAGACTAAAAAGAAACAATGAAAAATAAAATCACCATTAAAACGTGTTAAATGTTTACAGAACATCTAGGTCATTAAGATAGCTTATGCACCAAAAGGGGGCAAAAACCATTCCTTGGCTCGTTTCCTTCAAGTCTCCATCCAACCGAAGCTGAGTTACCATTTGCTACGGATAAAACCGTGTTCACCTTCCTTATGCCTCCAGCGATGTTTGATGAGAGAAAACAAGAATCCAGGAGCGTGTGTCTACTGAGGTACAAACGGTCAATGAAGGAGGGAGGTGGTTTTAAGATTTGTTTTACTTGAAAGTAAAGGGATGTCCTAACACCCACCGATGCATTTTTTTTTTTAACCGAAGAGCTAAAAACTGTACTCGGCAATAATCATAACACTGGGCAGAGCCGAGCCTGCACGCCATACCTGCCAAGAGCCAACATGTTTGATTGAAACCTTCAGGGGAACGAGGGTACGAGCGCCAGAGCCTAACTCGCCATTTGGACCGGCTCTCCTCCGGCCCCGGGCGCGCAGACGCCACGCGACCCCGCGACCGTGACCGGCGCGCGGATGCTGCGGGCGGAGGGGCTGCAAGGACCGAGGGGGTCGTTCGGCCGCTGGCCCGCAGCCGGGAGAGTTCAACTAACAAAGAGCTCCGCGCGCACCGAGGCCCCCTCCCCGAGCGGAAGCAACGCCTCCCCGCCGCCCCTCCCGGACCCTCTCCAAGTTCAGGGCCGGCAGCCGCCTCGCGCCCGGGCCTGCGGCCAGGCCGGGGCCGCAATCGGGAGGCGGAAAACGGGGAAGGCCGGTCCTAAAAGCCCCCGAAGGGGCGAGTCGGCGCCTCGGTCATCGCAGCGGCGAAGGGAAACAGCGCGCAGGAGGCCCAGAGCCCGTCCCCGCCACCGGGCCCTGCTTCCCGGGGAGCCGCCAGGCACGGCGGGCGGACGGGGCGCCGCGCTTTGTTACCGGCTGCGAGAAGCTCCGGCCGCCGCCATCGCCCCCGCCCCGGGGCGTCGCTTCCCGGCGGTTCTCGCCTTCCTCGGCCGAGTAGTCGATCTCCCCCTCCTCGGTCTTGAGGCGCTTGGCCTGGCTCTCGTACTCCCGATCCTCCTCGTACGTCTCCCGGGGGGAGGAGGAGGAGGAGGACATGGCGACGGCCGGAGGGACCGGCGGGCAGGCGGGCGGGGGTGGCGGCGTGGTGCGGGCCTCGGGCCGCCGGTCAGTCCCCGCGCGGGCAGCGCGTCTGCGGCCGGGTGTGCGCGGCCGGGCCGTCCACTGGGGCGGCGCGCCCAGGAGCCGGTGGCTACGGAGAGCGCCCGGGGAGGAGGCTCCCGAGCGGCCGCTCCCTTGTGTTAAGGAGCCAACATTCGGCCTCACCCCACTCCGCCGTCTCCGTCCCACCCCGAGGGAGCGAATCTAAGGATGGGACGCGACCGTGGCTTCCGGTCTTCCCTCCTCCCCGGATCCGCTGCCCGCCGCCCAGGCTCAGCCTCCGCCCCCGCCCCCGCCTCCGCCTGCGCTGTCGCCGCGCAGGATGGAATCCAGCCGCAGCCCGCGGGAAGCGCCCCCCACAACCTTTGTCTCCTTCCCTATTGGCAGGTGGAAAAGCCGACCAGGCTTCCCATTGGCTACACGGACTGTTCGTCAAAAGCCCCCACGGCCCGCCCTCGCCTTCCCGGTTCCTTCCCAACTCGACGCCGGCCGGGGAGTCCTGACCGCGCAACGCTCGCCGCGCGCCTGCTGGGAGCGGTTGCAGCCACCGGGCGGTTGGCGCTGTTAGGCTTAACCTGAGGCTGCACGGGCGGGGAGGCGAACAAAGGTGTTCGGGCTGCGGGTGTTAACCGCCCTCATTTAAATGCTTGTATTTGTCATGAAAAAGAAGGGATAACCACTAGACTTCCTGCAGATCTGCCTCACACGGCCCACAGCTACAGGAGGAGAGGGGAGGAAAGGGCCTGGAACTGTGAAAGTAGCCTTCTTCCTATGCTGTGTGCAAAATCTGATAGAAATGGTGGGCTCCCTGCCCTAACTGGATATTGGAGATATTTAGTGGGCATTGACTAAATGCAGCAAGTGCTCGGGAATGTCAGTTTGATCAGTTAGCACTCATTTGTCCTCTGGGCCTTTGTTCTTTCCTGACAGTTGTAGGGGACTAATCTGTGTAAGTTCTTGATCCAATTAAATGTTTTAAACCTTCCATATAAAATTTCATCATCCCAACCCTTTTCTTTATGGACGAGCTGATCTACGTCACATTATTAATTTTTGAAAGATAAGAAAGCCTATTCCAATTCCCTTTGGATCACAGCTCGTTTCCTGTGGAGCCTTGAGGACTCTTCCAAGCTTCTAGTTGCTACTTTCTCTTTTTGCAACTGGGCCCTTTGTACTTACCTCTTAGGATGTTCTGTTTAAAAGACTAAAAGCGCTTGAAGACAGGAACTGCTCTTTTCATCTTTGCAAACCTAGTTCCAGGACAGTCCCCTGCACAAGTTAGGGCTCAACGATACCGAATGAGTGGCCCTGGGGAAAGAAAGATCCATTGTATCTTCCAAGAGAGTCACTGGCAAATCGAATGCAACCTAATGCCCTTTGTGACTTAATCCTTGGAGGGCTGCTGAGGGTCCATACCCAGCAATTTCACTTCTGGGTATCTATCCAAAGAAAACACTGCCTTGAAAGTACATGCACCCTTATGTTCATTGCAGCATGATTTGCAATAGCCAAGCTATGAAAGCAATCTAAGTGCCCACTGATAGATGAATGGATAAAGAAGTTGTGGTACATAGATTCAATGGAATATTACTGAGCCATGAAAAGAAGTGAAGTCTTGTCATTTGTGACAACATGGATGGACCTAGAGCAGCGGTTCTCAACCTGTGGGTCGCGACCCCCTTGGGGGGCGAACGACCCCTTCACAGGGGTCGCCTAAGACCATCGGAAAACACATATATAATTACATATTGTTTTTGTGATTAATCACTATGCTTTAATTATGTTCAATTTGTAACAATGAAATTGGGGGTCACCACAACATGAGGAACTGTATTAAAGGGTCGCGGCATTAGGAAGGTTGAGAACCACTGACCTAGAGGATATTTGCTAGGTGAAATAAATCTGATAGAACAAATACCATATGA